CAGGGAATTTGACAGAGCGCTTACACCACCCCCAGCGGGGGAGCCAGATGCCACTGTTCGAGGTAGGTAGCGCCAGTGACTATAATAATAGGCCTAATAATAAATACTCTATAGGCCCAATCTTATAACAGTGTATTAATACAATGGTTTATTTATCAACAATTTCCTACGGCGGAATAATGTAAATCAAAATAGTAAAACTATATTATTCCATTTTATTTTTTAGTTGAGGAACCTGAGAGAGCCAAAAGAAAAAGGGATGAGTTCAGCGAGTGGGAGGATTATGGTGAAGAAGATGGCGAGAAAAACGAGGTTCAGCGCTACATTGACAGCAAGTTCTTGCGGGATGGGGATGATCTTCTAAGTTTCTGGGAGTCGCAGTCAAAGGCCTTCCCTCTGCTTGCCAAGGTGGCAAGGATGATTCTCTGCATCCCAGCAACAAGTGCATCGAGCGAGCGGACGTTCAGCTCAGCCGGCCGGGTGCTCGAGTCCAGGCGAAACAGACTATGTGAAAATAGATGCGGTTGTGCGGGCGGGATGGAGCGGGTCAAATTATTAAATAAATGCGGGACCCGCGGGTTGGAAAAAAACCCGACCCGCGCATCACTAATTTGAATGGCTGAATGAGGCATGTATACAGCGCTTTGAATGTTTGGAAGAAACTATAGAAAGGTGCTATATATCCATTTACCATTTATCATCCATAAGGTGCAGGATGGAGTTGAGCAGGGCACTGTGCGGTTGATGCCAAACTGTGAAAACCTCTTTGTGGAGCTGCTTTGTGCACAAAGGCATTTTCATGTTTAAACAGTAATGGGGTAAACACAAACTGTTGCCACAAAGCTGGATGCACTAGTCTAAAATATCATTAAGATTTCCTTTATCACAACCAAAGAGCTGAAACCAGGAAAACCCACACCAAATCTACACAAAAGTATATGGACGAGAAGAGTTTCTGCATACTTTTGGCCATATAATTTAATAGTACAAATGAAAGAAAATAGAACAAAAACTAGTGCACACAAGGAGAGGAGGAGGAAAGGGATTGTGAAAGAGAAGAGAGTGGTGAAAACATTTTTTGGGAAATGCTGCTTTCATTCACAGTGGCACCTCCTCCTCCTCCTCCTCCTCCTTCTGCTCATTCCCCCACCACACACACACACACACACACACACACACATACAAAAAGCCATCTATAATTGATGCTAGCTGTAGGCAGACACTGGCAGGCTGGACTTTATAGCGCAGCTGGATGTGCACAGTGGAAGGCTGAGGCAAGATGGTAGAGCAGGTACTTCTGAGAGTACACACTTTCTCCTTCACCTCTCTCTCTCTGTCTCTCTGACTCTTCTCGCTGTCGCTTCTACACCCGCTCTCGCTACACACTGTGCTGTGCTGTGACTGCAGAAGGAAGCATGCTGCATGTTCCCTTTATGGGTTAGTGTGTGTGCTTATGAGTGTGTGTGCGTAAATTATATATATATATGAATATATATTCATATATATATACATATATATATGGATGCAGTACTTGTGGGTGTGCAGGGCTTCATGCTCTGTTTATGTGGGTTTGTGTGCATGCATCCCTTCCCTCCTACCTCGATCTTTCATCCTCATCTGTGGCAGCAGCTAGCACGAGTCGATGAATTTACGCATTAGAGAGAGGGAGAGAGAAAGAGTGTGTGAGAGCGAGAGAGGAGCTGCAGCTCTCTTTTGGAAATGAAACCAAGAAACCCTGCGTACCGAACAAAGGTTTGTTGTGTTTGTTTAGCAGGAAGAGGAAGAGAGGATGAGGGATTGTGGAGTAAGAAGGAAGACAGAGGGAACTATTACTATTCATTGTGTTTTATTCATAGGGAAACACGTACAATATTAAACATAAATGTTATCACATGGTGTATTGTACTGTGTTGTGAGCTAGCTTAAAAAGTGAGTTCTTGATGTCTTGTTTTATTGAAATACTTAAATGGATGCATTTTCACACACAAGTGTTTACATTCACATTTTAGATTTCACAGTGTGCTTTGCATATTTGGATGTGAATCTGTAGTGTGACAGAGTACGATAATGACAATAATGTCTTTGTTAAAGTCCCCCTCCAGTCAGAAATCATTGTTTCTACTTGTTTCTACAGTGTGCTGTTTAAATGCTGTATGTGCAGAGTTTGACACTTAAAGGATGTTTTCA